CTTCCAGTAAATGTTATTAAATTTAAAAGAGAAATTTTTCAATAGTGGCAAATCTTGCATTTGGGTGGACCGTAGATTTCTTGTACGGTATCGTCATAATCTTTGCAATTGTTGAGCCTTGTTGTCTAGAACAACACGTAGGTCGCGGTCAAACTGATCATTTGGAACTCGACCCTCCGACCCTTGTACACTCAAACCAGCAGTTTGCATGGAGCAGGGTTGCTGTCAAAACACAAATTTAGAATGTTGAATAGAAAATAAGTTTGTCCATGAATGTTGCTCTCTCGTGTTGATGTAGGGACCATTCCGCGTAGTAGTTAGAGGCGTGGAACACTGCCCACCCGGTTTGGAAGAGGATCCTTCTCCGATCTCTTGGGAACACTACAGTGTACGTGACCGTCATAAGCCAGATATCTGGACGTTTTGGGGAAATTTTACCCACAACTTCGTTTGGGACGACACTTACCATGTAAGCTACGAAATATAACAATAACCGTTTGAACGAAGTCGAGGTCAAATCCATGTTTTTGACCTTCAACAAGCTAGGCCGCTTTTCCATCAACCATCGTTGCCAGCTTCGTGTTTCACTACGAAAGCAAATTGGTTGGGCCGGAAGCGGCCTAGCCTGTCGTGCCGATGGCGTTCTTGCCGCGCCTCCCGCCTTCGGTCCAACAAATTTGCAACCACTGCAACTCAGAAGGAGACACATTTGTGTTCATTTGTATCGACGCATCGAGGAAGGCAGTTTGTCCTTTTTGTCACCTTTTTTTCCGGCAACACATTGTTTTCAGCGACCAATTAGCTGCCCATAGGCACCTTTTTGGGTGACGCACGGAGCTTCTGATGACAAGATTGTCACCAAAAACGGTGAAACATAGCCTACGTGTGTCACCGATAAAAGACAGACATTAATTTGTCGCCGCGGCAACACGTGTTTCCAAATAGTTCTGTCATATCAGATGAATGAATGATTGCTGTAACGATAAACCACCGTGACTGCATCCAGCTTTAAAGCATTGGAAGCCTACTTGCTTGTCCGCGAGAAACAGCACACCTCTATTAGACACACGCAATACACGGTAAAAACAATGCTTCTTTTTTAGGAAGAAGGGAAAACTTTGAGGAACTACCCTAGTTTGACGAAAACTCACATTGCGAGGAAGTCTCATCATTCCAGCGCGCTAGCTGCGCTTTTCGGTTTGTTTGGATCGCGTTGCCAGGCGACGCGCCGCTGGGCTTCAAAGGGGTCATCAAGTGGCCGCAAGCAGATCCCCGTAATAAATTTCGGCACATCTTACAGGAAAATTTTCCGCGTTATGAGCCGTAAAATTACAAAACGTGAACGTAAATTTACAAGGATTTCCTATCGACTTAAAATTCAATGACGCGTAAGAATGAGCAGTTGTAAAATTATAACATATTTAGTAAATTTGAATAACAAAATAATTTGTAAATCTACAGAAACCTCTTTTTCAGTGATCGGATTCTTTCGAGCGGGATAAGCGCACCTGGCGTAGTTAGGTAGTTAATTTGTGATGAACTTTAAGGTAAAAAAGTTCGTCTGCACAACGCAAGTTCATGTCCCCTACTGCTCATAGCACTGAAAAAAAAAGTGTCTTACTTG